ACATGAGCGTAAGCAAACCAAATATGGGAAACGAATCCTACATTTCCAATTAACATATTTTTCTTGAATGCAGAAGCATTTAGTCGTTTGGCTTTTTGGGGAAGAAGTTGTTGGAGGAGAAATACGAGTATGTATTTGGATGAAGTATGAGTTGGAATTTGGATGATTAGAGCAATGGTTAACAATTTAATAAAATCGTGTTAGTTTATTTGTCAATATCGTTGTGATCTGCTAAAAATGTTGCAATATATTGGTGAAATATACGGAAAAAGAATCCTGCCAGATAGATGATGCACTCCTCGGCTTTTAATATCTGATGCAATCTTTGAAAGTGGAATCTTAGGTGAACCTTTTCTCTCCGGAGCAACATCACTTTCTATCGCCAATGAATAGAAAGTGCCTTGCTTACCTCAGAAAACTTTTCCCGAAAGTTTATGATCATACTAACTCCATTCACTGCTCCAGCGGCGTACACAATCGAGTTTCCCGTCCGGCTCTTTACACAATGAAACCTCTCGTGACTTTGTCGACCATTTAGACTTCTTGAGTGAGTTATTACAATATTTATAAATACAAATTAACAATATTTACGATATTATTTTAAAATATTAAAATTAAATTTAAATATTATTTTAAATGTACATGCAAAGGTTCAATCTTTAAATCACGCCATCGAGGAATATTGTCAGCGTACTTCACATCAAAATATCTTTTAACATATGTCACAGTAGTCCAAGTAGTTTTGGTCAGTTTAATTTTCATGATATTATATTTGAAGAAATATACTAGACTACTACGATTTAGAAATTTTGCTTCCATTGACATGCTTTTATTTCGATCTATCTTCACTTTATCATTAATTTTGTAACTAACAATTGCGACATTAGACGGTATTACACTAAAACATTCATATTTTCCAAAGCAGAGGTTATCAAACTTTTTAATTATTGTACCCCTAGCTCATATCTAAAATGTAAATATATACCCCCTCCGATAAAATGTCCCTCTAATGACTCGTTTTAAAAATTGCCCGTCTAAATTATTAAGAGGCGTCTTTAATTTATTGAACAAATATTTTAATTTTACAAAGTTAATTATTGCAAGAATTTCAATTTCTCCTTGAAATGTTCCTGGTAATGCTGTTCGGATACCCCCTTCGAGCCCAGCACGTACTTGGAGGTAGGCGTGCTGCAGTTCGAGAGGCCCTTCCGTTGCACCGATGTTACTCTTTGAAGCCCGCTCTCGTTCGCTCCAATTGCGTCGATGGTGTAGGTGTGTGGGGTCGGGCGGGTGACGGAAGCGCGTGCGTGACAGGAAGCGGCGGGCGCCCGCCGTGCGTGCACGCGTGCGTGCGTGCGTGCCGCTGCGCGGCCGCCTACCTAGGCTCAATGTCGTTCTTCGGAGGCCACTCGGCCGGCGCGGCCCGCTCCGCAGCCTGCGCCAGCACAGCATAATCAGGCGGGCATGCCGGCACGCCCGCCTGCCTTTGCCCTCCCCTCACCGCTTCACCGCGCCCCGCCCGAACTCCCGCCGCGCCGCCCGCCTTCTCGCCGCCGCCGCCTCTCGCTCGCCCCGCCCTCATCGCCCCTCACCGCCCTCTCGCCCGCCACCCTCAGTCGGCTCCAAACCCTCTCGCTCCACCCGCACCGGCCTTCCCGCTCCACCCGCCCGCCTCTGTCCAGCTCCGCCCGCTCTCCTCATCCGCTTCGCCGCCTTCTCGGCTCGCGTCCCCCGCTTCTCGTGCGGCCGCCGCCTTCTCGCTCCCTCACCGCCCGACCTTCTCGCCTCAGCCGCGCCTGCCTTCTCGCTCCCCCCTCTCCCCGCCCCGCTCTCGCTCCGCTCGCCCGCCTTCTCCCCGCCCCGCCCGCTTCTCGTCACTGCCTGCTCCAGCCCGCCTTCTCGCGGCCTCGCGCCCATCGCCCTCGCTCGGCGCCGCTTCCTCGCCCCCGCAACTCTCCTCGCCACGCCCGCCTTCTCGCTCCGGCCTGCCGCCGCCCTCTCGCTTCCACCGCCAGCTCGCCCCCGCTCTCCGCCCATTCTCTCGCCTCCACCGCGGCGCCTTCTCGCTCCGCTCGCCCGCCTCTCAGCTCGCCCGCGCGCCCCTCTCGCTCGCCGGCGTTACCCCACCGACCCCGTCGCTCCGCCCTCTCGCTCTCCTCGCCTTTCCCTGGCTCGGCGAAGCATTGCGCAACTTCGCACACCATCACCCCGAACAAACAGACTGAGGAGGCTCAGGCCTTCGCAGTTACGACCACTAGCGGGCGTCTCTGCTGACTCGGAGGAATCCTACGGGTTCTCGAGGTGACTCCCGCCAAGCTAAAGATTTCAGGCGCCAGCTTGCCATGCGCCCGTCGCTGTTTCGAAGCGACTGGTGCTCTGGTCGATATAGCTTTGCCGCTGCTGTGTCTTCGACCGCACACCAGGTTGAGGCAGTACTTTAACAAACAGGCATGGACCATCACTTTAAACCTTTTCTTATCTCGTTTCGACCCTCCCGCTTGTCATCACCACAACCACACACACCAACACTTACCTCTAGGGTTCTACGTCTCTCCACAAATACTACAATCGGGATAAACTGGTAAAGTTATGAACACTTGACGCGAACGGTGGGCTCTGGTCGCATGTTCGCCGTCTTTCAACTTGTCCTCCCTTCGCGCCCCCGTGCCACGGCTCGTCACCCACTGCTCGCACGCGGTAGATAACACTGCATCGCGGTGGAGTGTGACGTGGTGCACAGCAGGCAGATGGCGGGAGGTAAAAAGAAGGGAGGTGATGGCGAGTGATGGCGCTCTGCTCCAGTCATTGCCCACTGCCTGTCATCCATGTCTCTAGCCGCTCGTCGTTACCCGCTCTCCCCTGCGGCTCCCATTAACTCGTCACGCGCTCGCTAAGCGGTCTCTGCCTTTCCAAGTCAACATTCGCTCTCTCTCACATTTTCTTCAAGGTCGGATCCAGAAACTTGTGAAGGGAGAGGGCGTTACTTATTTTGTCCACCCGAGACCTGACAAAGAGAATCAGATTTTTTCGGATTTTTTTTTTTTCCGATTTCAAATATGTAATGTATAACACACACTACACTTATTAGTATATATATTATATATATATATATATTATAATATATATATATTATATATATATAATAGTTAAGCCTATTATCTTAACAAAGTCGATATTTTGTCCTCTAGAATTTGTCTAATTTCATTTCAAGAAACATTGAATATCTTGATGCACATGTTCCACGAGTCGATCTTTGGTCATCGCTTTTATTCTAGGTACCTTAGGTTCATGTGGCGTTAGTTAAATAGAATAAATGCAAAAATTAAATTCATTTTAAAGCATATAACGACACTAATTAAGCCATATTTTGCACACAAATGTGTATAAATCTATTTATATAGAGTTGGACAGTAGTGTAAATTAAAATAAAAGGATATCGTAAAATAAAATAATTACACATTCAGTCGATTTTCAGTTTCACTCAAAGTTCTATCAGAACGATAAATTTAACGTTATTTTTTATTTATACCTAAAGTCGAATGAAATCATGAAACTTAAAATCCTCACTACGAAAACTAACTCAAAATTGGCCTCATTCCCCCCTCCCCCGTGGATCCTCCCTTGACTCGCGTTTACAGGTACCTTCACTCGTCGTCAGCCTCTCCCGCCCATTCCTCTACCGAGGAAATGGAAAATGTCATCCATTACTCTCAAGAGGGAACACTTTTAAGATACTGAATATACACACACGATCAAAGTAGAGACCGAATAAGAAATGATGAAACAACATCGAATCGAAGTTTTTTAATTCAAAAATGAGACAAAATGTCGCAATTTTACTTTTTTTCTCAAGCCGAAAAAAGAAACATAGAAAAAGTGTATTAACTTTTTCCTTTTACGCCTGAAAATTATATCCATAAATTCGGACGCCAAAAAGGCATAGCTAAGTACATATTTTTCTTGATACTTCTATTAAATAAATTCCTAGCAAGCCGTGCTGGCCTTCCTTTCACATGAATATTCCTGTTTTACAGCATACGCAACAACAAAACTCGGCACAATCATATTTCATATAATTAATTTAAACTATTTTATCGACAAAATTGACACTGAGGAAGGTGTCTAGTAAGTAATCGTACAAATAAATAGAGTGAAATATTGACACTGCATGGTAACTTTTAAAAGCATTTTAATATTCACTTTAAACAGCATTAGGACCCTTGAGGCCTGGAAATAGATAGCCCGCAGTATATGTTAACCCGCAATACACGACTGTTTGGTAAGTTGCAGCGTGCAGGCGCGACTTTAACTCTTAAAACTAGTTTCGAACAATGAAATGAAAAGAAAATAGAGGGAATAGTTTCAATAAATGCCATTCAGCATGGTTTCGAGTGAAGAATGGAAACTCAATGCCAATCCAAATGAAAAGAAATGATGCACGACTCCCGTACTACTTTCTCTTACACAATTCTTGCACGCATTTTGGGCTGCTGCATGCTGACAACATAGTCATTATTCATTTAATCAGAGTCATTTACTTTATAAATATAAATGTGGCATCCTGTCCTCAATATCCCATTTCCCATTTTTTCACGTTTTTGTTTCTTTTTTTTTAATAAAAGTACATCATTAGCATTATGTTCTTCCATTCCTTTACAATTATTCTGCAAATTAATATTTCACAAAAGAAATCTTTTTTTATTTCTTTTAATTACTTGAAAAAATAGTATCTTTCATATTTCAATTATTTCACTTAATGCACTTCAGAAATGTGATTCTTTATTAATAATATGATTTTTTTTCATTCTTCAGCAATCTAATTGCTTTTTACATTTAATAATAGTTCATAGTACATAAACAATTTTTTGCAAATTTCTTCTTCTATCTATTTTTCATTGATTTTTATTAAAAATTCTTAGCTATTCTCTTTACGCAAAAACTCTTCCCTGAATTCTCATGAATTGAAAATGAATTATGTTGCATTATTTTTTTATAAAGGAGCTCTTCAAAACAGTGTGCCTCCTATATATATCAGCAAGTACAATCGTTTTGTGGATAACATCTTGGAAAGAATCAATCACTTACTGCGTAAAAGTTATGACCCAGTGAATGTTCGATTGAATAACATGAATGGGCAACAACAGAAGAATAAGAATAGAAAGTCTGGACAAACCAAGATCAAGAGGAAAAATAACAAAAATAGAAGAAGAGGCAACAAGAATAAAAGGCGTAATCAACGTCCAAGACCACGCAGTGCTACTTATGCTATTATGACAACCAGGTAATTGAGTATTAAACTTGGCCTGAAAAATGTATTGTGCTTGTTTCACACTTAAAAATATTCCAAACCCCTTAAAACAGTAATCATAAAGACTAATTCTTGCATTCTAATGCAGTTACTTTGTGGTGTTCAGATAAATGCTTTTACAAAAGGAATTAGTAATTCTTAAACACAAACTAATGATATCTTTTGTGTTCTTACACTATTCAAAGCACACATACCTCTCTTAATTTCTTTTTCTGTTGCAGGCAGGCAAGTTGAAATCTTAACTTTAAAAAATGCTTATAAATATTTACTTTTCAGTGAAACTTCTCCAGTCATTAGAAACATCTCAATGGTAGATGAACCAGTGGCAGCAGCTGTGGCAGCTCTTTCTCAGCAACTGCAAAGCACCCCTATCACAGAGCAGGTGATGTTGATGGAAGTGTCTGCTGATAGAACCCCCACAACTACACCTCCAGCAACCACAATTGGGGCATCAAAGGAGGAAGTCCCAGACAGCCGGGCTCGTCCCCAAAAGCGAAGGCCAAACAACAAGAACCGCAGAAAGAATGGAACTAAGAACAAAAACAGAGCACCGGCTAACAACAGGAGAAAGCCTAAGGTAAGAACAATAGAGACATTGTTTCATTAGAGTTAAAAATGTTTTCAGAGATATGGAAGACAGCAAAAGTGTTAAATTATCTGCTTCACAGCCTAAGAACAGGCCTCCTGCTAGAGCCACTCTGTATGGATTAGCCTCACTTAAGCGAGAGGGAGATGTGTCTGTGAACATGATGAGCTCTCACACAACAGTACGAACTCGATTTACCATTGGACCTCTAATGCTGAAAGTGGAGAAAGAGGTTTGTGATCAGTCATAACCCACATTTAAGACCTTCATTAATTGATTTTGTGAAAGACAATATATTAATTGTGTATACTTTGTAGTTTGGTCGAGGGGCAAAGAAAGATATTCGCAGTGCTGTAGCTACCACAACAGAAATGACTGGCAAACTGAATCTTCGTGTACGACATGGTGGAGCAGCAGCTCTTCATTCTATTCGTGTCCTTCAACCAAAGCAGGTAAGTAATTAAACTTTTATAATGAAAGTGGTAAATGTAATCGAAATCATTGTTTATGTTGGAATAAACCTGCTTATTTCTGCAGGTTCGAGTTGAAAGCTCAGATGACCATGACAAGACTCGTGAATTTGTCTGGAGCAGATCCAGCCATATAGCTCACTTGGTATCTCAAAAACTTTCGTTGGCTACTCGCGCCATGCTACAGCCAACGGCGCGATCCAGATAATCACGCACTGTGAAATTTAATGTTTCAAATAATCTTATCCCCCACCTCAAGGACGTTGTGTGAAGTGTATATATCATTAACCAGTTGTTCCTGAATTCTTCATACAGGAAATCAGTCACAGAAGTTAATCATAGCTGATGTTTTTTCTCCTTTTTTAAAGACTTATTTTATATTGCTTCTTGCCAAGGGGAAAAATGATATCTCATGTTCATATTTATTGATATATTTATTTATTTATTATTTTTAATTTATTTAATTTATCATAAATACATTTCAAGCTTTATCATTAAAATGTTCATGTTCCGTCTTTTTTTCATAATTCTATTTTTTGGTTATACCAACACAAGACAAAAAATTTTATATACATAAAGACAATATTAAATGGCTACAAAATTGTAATTGTTGCAATTTGTACATAAATATACAGACATTTAAGAAGCTGTACAAAAAATGTTCTGATTTTTCTTCTATGTTTTGACTTAGAAAATTTTATGTACCACAGCAAACCCATCACAGCCATTAGTGTACTCGTATTCATAAGACCTGATTTTCTAATACAATGATTAAAGTATTTCCTGTACTTCAATTGGAACAGGCAAACAGAGCATACCAGTACAATCAAGGATATATACATTATGCTTTTGAAGGATGACAATGCTGAATTAACTATTTTTTGGCAAGGGTCAAGAAACATTTGATCGTGACAGGCTAAAAAGTCTTTGTATATTGATGTATATTTGTTCTAAGCATTTAAGTCTTGGTCTGGTGAACTGAAATAAAGGAATAATTTTTCTAGAAGTATCTTTTTCACTTTTTTGTTCCACTAAAACAGCAAGATAAAATAATACTTTTTGAAGACTAATAGCTTCATTAATGATTACATCCACAATGCAATACCAGGGAATAAAATGTGAATTCTCATATCCACATAAAAATGTTGTGGTAATCTGCAAACCCACAGGTGCAATGACAAGCAAGGTTTCTTTCTGAACACTCCAAAAGAGTTTAAACACCTGGTAGAGCAATACAATCCACCCAACAAATATGACAATGATGTTGAAATATACATAATAAATTAATAAAAGAGACACAATCAAAAAAATTACAGAAAATACTGTTCTCATCAATGATGGGCATGATACATTAAGAACAACAAATTCTGAACACATTTCAGGTAACTCACTATTATGAACACTCAAAGACAACTTAAGGCCATCAACACTTTCACAGTAGATATTTTTTCTCTTCCGATGAAAAGTCTGAGACATTTCAACAGTTCACTTTCAAACATCCAGTTTGGGACACAGACTTTAATTTGACTAAAAAATAATACAAAATTGATACATATGGCTTTTGATATAAAAGTGCTGGCAAATACACTAATTTCACAACAATCTCTGATAAGGGATGGAGGCTTTTACATAATACTATTCTTCCAGGATCCACACATTTAGAGGTTAGAAAATGTAATTTCACATTCGGGAAAGTATTGCATCATATAGCAATAAGTTTCAGGTGTGGTAAGTATATTTTTCACATGATCACGAATTCATAGTGATGTATTAAGTAAGAAAATAAAGAAAACATTTCAAAATCATGTTGCGTCATTTACGACAAAGTAAACACGCTAAGGGGCGTAACCCACTAACACCACACGTTGGAATAGAATCTTCGCCTGCTGGAAACAAAAGAAAAACACATAGATTTCAATGAATAAATAATCCTGTATTGTGACAAAACCCAACATACTCAAAAATATTTCTCCTCAACACGTACAACTTCAGCAGGTATTAATTTAATTTTCATCGCTATCACACTGTAAGGTTGGTCCTCGCGAACGATCGTCGTTTGTTATTTTCATTTCGAAATGCACGCGGTAGGTGGCAGCATGCAGGCAGTGTGGCACAGAGCAATCACAAAATCAGAATAATGGCTGCCAAGATGAGGAAGGTACGCTGAGAAACCTGTCAAGTGCCGAACGGCCAAGGCCAGCCTCCTGGGATTGCGATATGGCAACGAAGAGATTTAATATGAAGAATAAAGTTATTTTCTGTGTTTACTAAAGAAAATAATTTAATTGTCCTTGTAGCATCGAATTAGTGGATTAACACTGTCAATATGAGTGCAAAGGATAAAGAAAAGTCATTCCCAGAAAGGCTGAAGAACTTTTTTAGAATAAATAAAGGTGTGACGGGTAAGATGATGGAAAAAATACAGAATAAGTTACTAATATACTCACAAAGTAGTTCTTTGAATTGTTTATTTTTATCATCATTGAAACACTCCATTTTCAGGTAACATTAAAGGGCGGCTCGACTTTGCCCTGACACCTGAAATTGAAAAAGATCTTAGTCCTGATACACCCCTTAACCATCGTGCAAAGCTTATAAAAGACCTTAGTGAGGTAGTTTTAAACAATCGACTTGAAGATGTGAGTATGTTTCTGTAGTAGTATCACGTTACAAATGATTTCAGTCTTGTATTGTGAATTCCTGCCTCTGAAATCTCTGCTGTCAAAATTTAGTATATTTACACACAAACTTAACATAAAAAGTTCTGGTTATAAATTAAAGCAATATTATTTCTGTTGTGAAAATAAAAGAAAAGGAAAACCAAAACAGCTGGTTTACGTTGCATGACTTATTATCTTGTTCTTAGAATGCCATTGAAAGACTGTGGAATTGCTTACAAGATCTACTGCAGCGAGATGTTCAGAAGGAATACCGTCATCTTGCATTTTCATTCTTTCGGTGTTTAGTGCAAGGCCAATATGAAAAATTAGGACTCATGAGAGTACATTTTTTCCGTGTGATTAAAGAACATGATCTACCTGAAGATATTGGCCCAAGGTAGGTCTTATTATTTGTGTATTGTGCAATTGTGTTGAATATTATTTCATGGATGAAATACCATTTCCTCACTGTACGTTATAAATTTCATAGTGGTTGTCTTGCTCGAAGAGTAAATATTAAAAATAGTTGATACTACTTTATCTACAGTATTTTTGTCATGGCTTAATGATCATTAGATTATGCAGCATATTGCATTTATTCATTGTAAATACAAATTACATTCTGATGAACAGAATATACATTTTTTAGTACAACCTTTTTTTTTATATTTTCTCAATTTTAAATAATGAATCATACTTGTACATGTACTGAATACATATTTATACATGCCTACATTATCACCCCCTTATACTAATTATTTCAATCTATCTATTGTGTTTTTTATTCTACATTATATTATTACAGTACATCACAGTACAAACAAACAGTATGTCAGAATATATTTCATTATGCTTACATTATTCACATCAACTTTTCCCTCCCCAACTTCATTTAATGCACATCCTATTCATTGTATCATTATTTTTTATATTCTATCTTGTACATAACATTCATTCCTCATTCTTATTGTATAATTATTTACTTTACTTCACTTCTACATACTCATTTAGTAGAACAATGCATCATAAAATGGATTTTAAGAGGGGGTTTGGCTCTATTTCTTCAAATGAAGGTTCAAAGTTTCTAGAAATGTGTAGAATATTGTTGATTGGGATATATACATACATATGTTTACATAATAAGTTATATACATATTGATAATATTTCAATATATATGTCCAGATTAGATCTTATGCAAAGCCTTTCTGACAATGGAAAAGACATATTATATTTTGAAGAGGAGATTGGCCAGTTTCTTTTACAATGGATGTCTGATATGACTGGAATTGGAAGAACTCATGAATTCCTGTCAATGCTAGTCAATGTCATAAAATTTAATGCTGCCTACATTGATGATGATGTGATTGCTGGTTTGGTCCTGTAAGTACTTGATATATTTACTGAACGATTAAAATATCATTAATTACTGGATTGAAAATCGTTTGGTCAAAATGATTGTTTTCTTTTGTGTTCAATTATGAGTTTGTAGAGTTCTTCATTATTACATTTTCTCTTGGTTTTAATTATGACAATTGAAGAAGTCTAAGAAGTTGTAGGATGCATGGGATTTTTTTTAAAACAATGAGTTAAGTGTGTGGAAGTCTATGAGCAAAGATAAGATGAAAAATGATATAAAAACTTATGTCCAGAATCAAAACTGAGAACACAAAGTTAAATATCAAATATAAAAATACAAAAATAAATAAAATCTTATGAAATCCACTAGATGTAAGTGAATAGTTTATTTCATATTTTTCATTGATATAGCCCAACACTAATCCAAACTCCCAATAAGGAAATAGGGAGAAAATCAGTGGTTGAAAAATGGCGTTGAAAGTTGGGTCATGTATTAAAATGTCAAATAGAAAAGATCCATGCCAATTATTTGATGTGTGGGATATTGTTGTAGAAATATTGGAAAAGTTCGCGTTGTATACATTATATGGAAAATAATAAATACCACAATCATTGTTTCAGTATTTTTAGATATTTGCTATTTTCTCAATGTCGGAGATTTTAATGAAAATCGATACTATACCATACTTATAAATGCACCATCTTCCACGCAAGAAAAAAAGTTTGTCACTTTTGAAAAAGTTTTGAAAAGTCACAGGAACTTCATGTAAAGTATCCCCCAAAATTAAAATATCATAATCTCTGAAATAGCACAACTAGACCTCACCCCGTTTCAACTGAAAAGCTTCTAATCTGGCAGTTATGTGTCACATCCATACATACATCCTCATTTATGGGTACAAAATTAGTTGTCTCTCCTCCACCTGCACCAATCTTAACCATTTTGGGTACAATGCTAACAGACATTCATCCTGATGTGTCAGCAGAGTTACAACTCAAAAAAAAACAACACAGATTTCACACCTGCCAATTCAAGATTGTAATGCTGAGATTCCAATACTTTTCACCCCTATATAGAGAGATAAAGTAAAAATGTATTGATACAAGTTTCTTATATTAGTATCATATCACAGTTTCTCATATCAACAATACACTAAACTAACATTTCCAGAAGTATTCAAGCTCACAGTAATCAAAGCAAAGTAATTATAAAACAAGACAAAAAATTGCATCCAATTGCAGTACAGTAGCCCTAGGTTTTACTATCAGCAAAGTGATTGGAAATATAATATGAAATAGATTAAATGTATTCTTGAAATGAAATAACACCATTTTAAACAGTCTACATTAGTCTATTAGAAAAGAGCTATCCGCGTTAATAGTGATCTTGATAATGACAACATAGCATCTGAGATATTGGATGTTGAGTACAAATAACAGCATTATTTATGGACTTGTCAAAAGCATTTGAGAGAGTAAATAATAATATATTGCTATACGAACTAGAAAACTATGGAATCAAGGGATGGCTTTACATCTTTTGAAATATATTCATAGTTGGTCGTACAAAGATTGTAAATATAGCCAGTAGCATCTAAAAAATCATGAGCAACCCTATTGTAGGTGTATGTCAGGGGTTAGTATGAGGTATTTTTTTTTTATTCTATCTAAATGAAAGGTTTTAAGCTCATTACAAAGGGCAAAATTTATTGCTACTAACACAAATAAAACTACGTGCTTATGTTGGCATAGATCACAATCAACACACTACATAATTGAATCTACATTTAAACCTGAACATGGGAGTGGTACATATTTATCAATTGCAATAGAAAACCAAGACATACAAACCCATAATACTTGTCATCAAGCAAACAAGCTGAGAGTGATATAATCTTGGGCAGGCAACTTGATACCTTTAAATGGTGCTAAATACAGGATGCCTCTCTTAAAATGGCATGACTCATTGACTGACTTTCACAGAAAAAAAAGAAAAAGAAAAAAAAAAGAAGACATTTCACTGTACTTTCTGTTAATTTATTACTTCATATGTAAATATCACGAAGTATCAGACACACTCAGCATGTATTATTTTATGTACAAATGCTCTAAGTTCAGTCACCTGCATACAAACATTGGTGCACTTATAAAATCATATTACAAGAAACAATTCTCAGTTCAAGATGCAATTCTTTTGGAAAGATGTTCATCTCATTTGTAATGTTCTCATCAAGTTGGTTGATCATATGACTGTTATTATAATGTGCTTTGCCTTTCCCCTATCAATAAAAATTGCAAGGTATAAATGTGGCAATTGTGGAGGCCAAAGGGTTTTGCTAAAAACCTATTTTCTAGGAGACATTTCACATATCAAGGTCACATCTCTTTTCGTTTTCTGCTAATTGTTCATAGAACAACGCAAATATCTGCAGATACATAAGCTGTTTATCGTCAGGGGGGAAAAATAGAACATTGCACGCCAAATGACTGTCTTCTCTGGATGTTGAGGTTTGTTATGCACAGAGTGTGGGTTAATTTCTGACCAATATCTGCAATTCTATGCTTTAATGTGACCAAACAGATGAATCCAGCTTTGTCATCAAGTGTATCGGATTGAACTAACTGTCAACAATCAAAGGCAGCTAATTCCAATAAGTAATTTCTTTATCATTGGCTGATTCTTTCAATTTATGTACTGTGGACATATGAAATGTTCAAATCTCTGAGAGCACCCAAAGCCATGTTGTGTATGATACACCAACTGGTTGCAATAATCTTCTTTAAGATTTTTTGGAGCTACCGTGCCATTGTGAATTCTGTTCTCTGTGTCCGGGATCTTCACTTTTGGATATGTATTCTTCAGTGTATTCTCTATCCACCGGGAGAGATGGCTCAGGGCATCCACTGATGCCACTGCAGTCCCTCTGACCAGGAGGTCCTAGGTTCAAGTCCCGATGGTGGCAGGATTTTTGACACTAGCTTGTCAGCTACTTCAAATTCTGTCACTGTTTGGAGGATAAATCTAGCGACCGGCTGCTTGATTGACAGTTTTCTTTGGTTTCTCCGATCAACACCAAGCAAATGCCGGAGTAGTACCCTTGCAAACAGGCCACAGACCACATGCGATCTTTTCTACCTCTTCCTTGTCCTATCCTCACCCCCCTACACACACGTACACTATCTTGCACTACTCTACCACACATGCCGTGAGACTGGTCGGGAGCTTAGAGCTTGTCCTGTGTGGGGAGGTGCCCAACTGGTAGGAGATACCTGGTTGGGGGAAAACCCTGTTAGCCGACGGTAGGTTGGCACCAGATCTCACCATGCAGTGGGGAGAGACCACCGCCAATTCCTGAGCAAAACGTGCACTACACTTACGGGACTAATGACCGTGGTAGTTGATGTGCCCAGAAACACTAATAATCAATAAATCAACCTATGGATCCCGTTCTCCTCTATTTCTTGTAGAGGTCTTGAATGGTCCTGATTTTGGGAGGCTTTGGCATCAGGGTATTTCGTCATTAACATTTCTTTAGTTTCCTTTATGGAACCTGTCTTTGTGTAATTCTCCACCGCGTAAACCTAGTGATCAATTGCTAACTGCACCATTTCTCTACAACAGTAACATGTAACCTGTTGTATTAAACTTAACAATTATGTTTGCCTTCTAGTAATATATTTCAGTGTAGCCAACAATATTTCCCCAATAAACAGTAATGCAAACACCTGTTTATTTATTAATGTTAGAATGGAAGTGAGGCATACCAGTCATAAGTGGGACATCCTGATTAATGTTATACATCTTGGGGAAAGAGAACCCTCAAATTGCAGTGTGTAATTGGAGAAAACATTGTCAAACCAGCTGATACTCAAAACGATTTGCATGTGTTTGTATCTGTGCTCTTCAATGAATAAGCAAGTGGCTGCATTGCCAAAAGGTGCAATATCATCAATTTACTGAGGAATGTCTTCACCACTGTAGGTATTGAATTGTTCAGGAGGTCATATAGTACATATATATGCAACCTATTAAGGAGTATGCAATTGTGTTCTGGTCCTCAGAAAACTATATGTGAATACCCTGGAACTGTAATGAGAAGAGAGTGACTTTCGACTATACGTCTTCAAAATCATAAAGGAGACTAACTTAGAGGATCTGAATAACTCTCTTTCTAGAGTTCATGACTTGTGATTGAGAGGTCACTTGAAAAGAGTGCATAAAGAGAAAAACACACAAACCCCTGAGCTTACTTCTTATCTAACACAATTTAAAAAAATTCATAGGCTTCTGCAGTCCAAGTTATTTTATACCTGTCTGCCCCAGAAGAGTCAAAACAGTCAGTCGACCTTACGTTTCGGTCATCATGTTGTGGTCTTCTTCAGAGCTGTACTGTTAATAGCTCCGAAGGACGCCACAACATGGTGGCCAAAATGTCAGCTTGACCGACTGTGATGCGGCTTTTCCCAGACCGCCAAGTATCAAGTGAAACAGTTTATCTACCTCATTGTTGGACTCAAACACTGGGGGATCCTGTGGGAGTTGCTTGACAAGACATGAGTAGCACAAGGATGGATGTTAATATAATTGAAATTGAACTTCTGCCCATGAGTGATTGTAAATTGAAAACTGTGCTTGAAAATTGTGATCATGCTTGGATTAATGAAAACTGACTTGTGATTCGTTAATCGATTGTGCTTGAAAAGCAAATTTAAGTAGGATGTGTAACAGTATTACTCAGTTTTTAAGGAATATCAGCTGTGCTGCTGTCATGATAGGTAAATAATATAATATTTGTTACATTATTACATTGCTCCTGATGTTAAATTCCACAATTTCTCTAAGTTAATTCTATTTCCAAAATAGGAGGATGAAGAAAAATAAAACCAAATCATTGGATACCTAACAAAATTATGCAAGAATGTTTTTAGCATATTAATTCTTATAAATTGTATTTTTATCATTATTATTAATATTTTTTATTTGTTATTTATTTATTTATTTATTTATTTTTTTTTACAGAAATACATGTTATCTCTCCTGCTGCAGTAATTCTCCTCAAGTTGTGTTGGCTTGTTTGCAAGTCCTTGACACCGTGGTGTGTTATAGCAACCTACCTTCTGATTCACTACCAACTTTTGTCAGTGCTCTATGTCGAACTGTCAATGCAGAAGAGTTCTGCCCAAGTAGCTGGAAGGTTGTAAACAGTTCTCTTTTGAATGCCTTCATGTTAGTTCATTAATGAAAATGTTAATTATTTTCAATTTTGTTGTAGATCATGAGAAATCTTCTTGGCACCCACATGGGCCATTCTGCTCTATACACTATGTGTCGAATTCTTCAGGAACCTTCTTCATTGCAAGATATCCATTTATTGAGAGGAGCAGTGTTCTATATAAGTATGGGTCTTTGGGGGACTAAGAGAGTGGCAACATTGAAGTACACACCAAATTCTGTTCTTCCATCTTTCTTACACGTAAGTACTAAAATTCTTTGTGCCTTCCTTGAAACAAAGATAAATTATTTTGCTGATTTAATACAGATATATCATTCATCCATAAGATGGAGAAGAAAAAAGGAACATTTTAAAAGGAAAGTATTTGTTTTTAAGAAGTGTAGTGTTCAAGATTTGCTGCCACATGAATCTGTTTAAAAATTAATATTCAAATTATTGAGTTTCACATTAAAAATCCTAACTGATTAATTTTAAATGTACTGCTGTTCAGGAAAGAAAAAAATGTAGACTGAAAGTAACACCAGCATTGCTACAACAGCACATACTTTTTCACAATGTTTCTACTGGTTACCTAATGTAATAATGCTAGTTGAACTGGCAAATGTTTTTCCAACCTCTCGAAAATATTTGCCTGGGCTGGGATTTGAACTTGAGCTCTTGCTCGCACCCATCATACTGCCAGCTCTGTTTAGTTATACCAATGCTCCCAACTCATCGGAAAGAAAGTTGAACTGTTGCAATTTTCAAATTTTCTTTGGGATTATTGAAAATTGAACTTGTGCTGGTTTTAAAAGTGCGCTGTGATACCTCCCAACTAGACCCCTTTGTTCAGGATCTCCAGTGACCGCTGGTGGGTTGCAATTTGGGAGGGGTGGCATGTATATACAAACTATCACATATATTATATCTCTTTGAAACATTTTTTGAATGTGGAAAACTATAGCATGTAGTGTACAACTGATTTGCAAGCTTTGGGATTTTAAGACAACTTTTATGTTGATTATAGAAGATGCAATTGTGCTCACATTAAAATAAAAGATTCTTTTAAAAAATATTCCTAGCAAACAAACAATAATTTTTTAAATAAGATGAAAAGGTTGGTATTCTTAACTTCGTTAATAGACACAAATTCTGCCAAACAAATCTCTAATAGCAAATCCTCATGCGCCTCCACCCAACTCTCAATACCCCCTCTCTTCCTCAAGTTTCTATTGCATTCTCAAAACCTTGATCTTTTGCTTAAGCTGGAACATAAAACTAAATTTATCCTCAAAAATTGCACTAGTGGCATGTACAAATTACAAGAATCTATTTATTGCAAGTTTAATACCAGCAACTTTTCCCAAGGCTGTTTTTTCTGTGGAGGGTAGTGCCCTTCAGCCCTTTAGGAGCAGCTGCCACTGAGGACCAGTCCTTTTTGTAATTTATTTTTGGAATTGAATAATTATTGTATAGGACCAATGTATTTTTACTTCTAGAATTATGATCTTCCATCTCTCTTCCTGACCAGTGATTGCAACATTGTTATAATGTAACATGTCTCTTTAAAAAGTGAAAACTTCACACTTAAATGGGTTTGATGATAAGCAACAATGACTGCAAAAAGGCGGCCAAGTTAAAGAAATTTTTAATAATTTTAAATAATATGAGAAAGTAGGTGCTATTGAGCATCACTTTTTTTTTTAAACAAATGTATGGGGTTATGATAATTAATGGTTTTTATACTGTTTAACTGACCCTTCCAGGCTCTCGAAAGTAAACACACAGTTGTCATATATGAAGTCATGTTGAGTATACAAAGATTGGTGAATAAATATGGTTTGGAATTGTATGATCCTGCTTGGGATATTGTATTGAATATCATAGAAGCCATTATATCACATATTGGTAAGTTTCATTTCACATATTGTCTATAATATTGATATTTTTTAAAATATATTCCTATTTATTGTTGTGTAATAGATTTTTAATTCCTCTTTCATTGAACTTAAAATACAAGTACATATATGTACATAAAAATGTTTAGTTTTTGTTTTTTCAATTGTGAGAAGTACTCAGTTTTAATTCTTAGTTATTCAGAATTTATATTAATGATAGAAAATGATTCTTAGCAATACTCCTAGGATACTACAAGTACTTGATGTGCATTGCAGTGACAGAAAATCATTGATGTTACATCTCGCAGAACTTAAGTTGAAGTCCTCACTATCCGACACGTGTGCAAGAATAACATTTTTCATGAAGGAGAACAAGAAGTTCTCCTTTGTTCTATAATTTAAGTGACACAATTCATTAAAACAAAAAACACAATTTATTGGTATGTTGTTCTGCCTGGGGACGTCTTTAATGGAGTTCAGTATTTAACTTATTAATGTTACTATTCCAACTCATCAATTTGGAGAATACTCTTGCATTCCAAATTACTCAAATTGCAAACATTTGTTGAATTAATAACTTTCACAAGTTACTAATTCAACAAATATGATGCTTTCCATGTTCTTTTGCAGATCTGTTAGCTTATTGAAATCAAGACAAGCAGGACAACAACTTTCAAATTTCTTCCTCACATGTAGCCACCATGGAATTTTCAGAACATAGCAAACACTTTCATTATTCAGTTTAGTGTAAAAAGAATAATTCACTATTAATAATAAACATTAATTAATATGAAAATATTTAATAGAACTAGGAGGCATAGCTTTGCTTTTGTCAGTTAGAAGTTTTGTTAAGAGAGAGCAAATGACTCTGTAAGCAGCTCACAATTTAGCAACTATATGAATGGCAATAAATGTACCAAGTGGTGTGCAGTAGAAAAAACAAACAAACTACACAAAATGGTTTTCTAAAAAGTATCACACACACTGCTGAAGAACAACTAATAAATTACTCATGTTCAACAGTACAGAAAATTAAATTTATGAACAAAAGCAGCCGTTGTGAATTCTCTAGTGATGTGGTAAGGGATGTACAGATGGACCCTGCAACACTCACTGAATATAAGAATTTAGTGAGTACATGTAGGCAGAAAAATCAATCAAATACTATTAGCATTTTCAGTCAAAATCAAAACTTTCTGGGTTTTTGGATTTTTCATAAGACCTGATTAATAACTCTCAGTTGACTAGAGGCTGCTTAGTTTTCATTCAATTTCTGTGAGCATTGGAAATATGTAATATAGATGTTTTGATTTCAAGAAATAATCTATCTTCGAATTGGATTGGATAATTAAAATTTGTGCAACTTAAAGTCAAAACAATGTTCAGTATGCCCATTAAGTTCATCCTAGAGGACATAAGATATTGATGTACTTAATTGTCAGTGGTAATTCTAATGATATTTACGACTCTGATACTAACCAGAGTTGAAATTCAAAGTTTTCTTCAAATATTTTTATTCTTAATAATTGCCAATGAATATTAAAATGTTTTCTTGATATTTATGTGCATTTTTGCTAAAAGCATAATTTGGGTGGTCCATTTAATGCATATTGCCACTTGATTTTCAGTTAACTTGAAATTGTGTTGAATGACTTTTCAGAAACCCCTCCTCACAACAGCTCAGTGACTCTTGTGGCAAGTCATCTCCACGATACCTTGTGTACAATAGAACAATTAATTGAATTGGGGCAATTTAATGGTTCAGTGCGTCGTGTTTTTGAATTAATAGAACGTTGCTCTCCTGTGAGGCCTGTAAGTAACCTGTTTTGCAGTTTCTGTTTGTACTACATAAAATATAGATATGATGTTCACAATTTTACCTTGTTTTATATGTTGCCAACACCATTGCCAGTGATGCTAGCCAAATTTGTTTCCTAGGCTCTGTGAAGCCACAGAGGTTAAACGAATTTGAGACTCGCAGGTTTCTGGTTAGGTCACTGACTAGGAACCCTGGGTCTAACAGCACCGAGCCCCTGGCCGAAGGGGTGAAAGGCACTCACTGACTGTAATGTGACAATACTTGACAAAGATAATAACAGAGGATTACTCCATGGCAAATGCTCAAAGCCCAACTAGGGTTCAAAAGATGTATTGCATCAACAATAATGCAACAATTAAAAAAAAAGAAAAAAAAAACACTTGTTACTTCTTTTATTCATTTAACTATTTATATTTAAAGAAAGTGGATAGAGATTCTGGAACTCAAGAAAATGTAGGCATATTTTCTGTTCGGTTGTTTGTCTTTCTTTTTTACGATAAATAAATACCTTATGTTAGCATGATAAAACATTCAAATAATAATAAAAATGGCAGAAGTTCATTCAAGTTTCTGGTGTGTTTACAACTTCTTTCATAAATTTCATTGGTGCAGAGACTGAAATAAGTTATTTTAAAAATCATTTGTTTTTTTGTAGAAAGAGGGTACACTTCAATTAAAATTGTAAATTGAATTATTGTTAGCTAGTTTATTTTTTGACAAACATGGAGCTTCATATAAAGATTAAAAGTGAATGAAACAGTGTTATAACATTAGTTTTATACTGTAGTTACTTATACAACTATTTTGGGGTTGATAAAGAGAGACAAGATAAGTTTTCTCTGTTTAGAAATGTAAAAATATGTGTGATAATTGTTAACTTTTTAAATGAAGAATGACAGTCACTTTGGAATGAATACTCACAGAGAATGTTAATCTGTTGATCAAGGCTGAGACAGGTGACTTTTACAAAGCAATAATTTGTTGTGCTTATCAGGTTAAATTTGCTATGCTTAAGAAATCTACAACAGTTGAAAGGGAAATCCCTTTTAGTATCTTTTTTATTTTTTATTTATTTACGTCAAAAACAGTTAAAAAACTGTGTATGACGTGCTATAGGAAGAAGTTTATTTGAAGTTACATTTATGTCCAGAAGCAAAACAAGGGGCCATCTCAGCATTTGCTTGAGGAATCAAGGAAACCTGAAGAAAACCTGATCGAAATGGGGGTCATTGACCCAGAAGCTGGAGTAAATACTTAGTTACAGGTTCTTTAACAATGATACAATCAAATGATATATAATACATTAAATGTCATTTTAAAAATTAATATTACTTTCCTTTTGGATGCTCAGCATAGTCTCTAATTGTATAGAAACAGTTGTGCAACAGAAAATATTTTACTTGGGACTTAAATTTTTGTATCGAATTTAATTGTTTAATGTCATCTGGCCAGGTGTTTTAAAATAATGTACATGTATTATATGTGAATTTTTTGTAGTGAGCTGTTTACACTGTTACCTGATGAATGTGATTACTACGTTGAGTGTTGTAGTTATAGACAACAGCATTTTCTGAATATATATTCCCGCCCTTAAGTAAGTCATTTTTGACAAAAACCACTGATTCATATATTAAGGGACAAGGTAATGGTAAAAATCCCTAGATTAATAAAGAGAGGCTTACAAGAATGAATCACGTGAGTGGGATTTGCTTATTATTTGTACAATTAATTTTTGTAATCTAAAAGTCTGGGAGCTATAAGATGTATTTCCCCAGATTATTATGTCATATCTCAGGCGGGAATGAACATTTGCAAAATATACACAACAAACAGTGTGTAGGCTGACTGAATTTGAAAGAATTCTGAAAGCATAGCATAAAAAACTTAATTTAGTGTTCAATTCATTTAAATGGACGTTCCATTTAAGGTTGGATTGAATTGAATAACCTAAAAATTTTGTTACCTTAACATCAGTCAATGACACGCCGTTCATTTTCAGTCTTCATTTTCATATTCTCTTGCCATCATCTCTATGCAGTTTTTTGCCTTTGTAACTAATGGAATGTCTCTACGCTGAGGAAAATTCTTATTTGAAGGAATCAGATTCCTGTATCCAGCATATTGTCAGTTGTGGAAAATGGCTCAAATAGCTGAAACATCAAGGACATTATTGCACACCCAATTCATTTAATCAGGAATTAGTTAATCAAATGTTTTCAGGTTTTTGTCTATTGTTCTAATTCCAACTATATTCACATTATTGGTAGTTTTAGCTTTTTTCCTATTATTAGTGTAGTGATGTATTTAGGAAAGAGCCCAAAATTTACCTCATATACTTCTATTAAAAAAGTACAACAATTATAATTATTATCTAAATGTTTTTCAGGAAAGCTCTGTTCTGCGCTTGGTAAGTTATGTAGCAGGATCCATTGTCCCTACACGTTTGGATTGGCTTAACAAGTTGAATTCTCTCTTGGAACGTTATTACAAGCAAGAGCAGAGAACCAATATCAGAGTGAAAGTCTTAGATGTGCTCTCTAATGTGATCCATGTAAATAGGTAATTGTGTTGAGACCTGCATGTTTTATAAATTAAATTGTGCAAGAAGCAAAAATATTTTCCTTTTTATTTCCAGATCTGTGTATGAAGATGAATTAATTGAACGATTTGTTGTTCCTTACTTGCAACATGTTGATGGTGATTCTGATATAATAGTCAGAAATGCAGCTGCTCAGCTTTTGGTGGATTTGTGCTTGGAATGTGAGAATAAGAGATGTCTGGAGCTAATGGACATTTTGGAAAAGGTACTGGTCATCTTTTGATTCTTCACTATTGTGTGGTTTTAAAATGTTACGTTTATGGTAGATAAAATAATTGGCATGGCAAAATTTGAACATCAAATTTTTAAATTGGTTACTTGTATTTTGAAAGGTCTTCACTTACAAGAAGATTTAAAAATAGTTGTTTGCTGATTCTTAAAAATATTTTGATAGATCCTATTTGTAGAGAAAGTGTCCAAGTGTCCTCTTCAGAAATTGGAGTTTTTGTATTGTGTGTTATTTCAAACAAAATATTGTATTAACAAATATGTATTGCGTTCATGCTGCAAAGAGGACAATTTTTTAAATGGACAAAACATTGGCTGATAAAATTAAATAACCCATAATATAAGTTCTTCCAAGTTTCAGTTTTTAATTGAATGATTTGGCTTCACAAGGTAATTCATTATTCTTTCAATTATCATCAGGAACTCTAGGTTTCTATTAGAAAATTTATCGTTTCATGTTACTTATTAATATGTAAAACGGATCAGTATATATTGCAATTACAAGTGTGTATTAGTACACATTTCATTTAGAAGTTAGTCAATTTAACAAAATCTTTCCATAATGGATTTTTTGTTTTTAAGATTTGTGTTGTATTCTATATTGGATGTGAAGAAGTTAACAAAAAAATGAAGTTTTTATCATATTGGAATAATGTAAATGAACGTAATTTTTTGGATGTTGTAATGATGGACAAATGTTTTATTTTTCAGATACTGAATCGTCCATTTGATCAGTTTGCCAATGATTCTATGCCTGTAATGAATGAGACTGATGTAATAGATGTAAAGACTGTAGTAATAGGACTGATTAAAATTTTCACTATCAAATTGTATCAATTGCCCTCTTCTCATGCTATAAAAGCATATCGATTGCTGGTCAATCATCTAGATGTTCATTATTACAAGCCTATTGTTTTGGAGAACACAAGTAATATTAGATATAGGGTAATTATTTTTGCTCTTTAAACATTATATGATAAATAATTATGGGTGTATGTATCTCTGAATGTTGAGATAATGCTTCTATTTCTTTCCATCCAGATATTTGAGTGCTTTCTGCAATTAAGAGCAGATTCGCTTTATCACTTGGGCCTTCCTGATCAAGATACCAAGGAGTTGCGGTTTAGCCCTTACATTGCAGCAGATCGAAAGCAGGGTGACAAAACTGGAGGGACTGCTTCTCCTCCGCCCATGAGTCCCGCTCCTACTCCCTATCCACCTTGCACAGTTACGTACATGTCTTTAACACATGCTTGCAAGGCCGTGATAAGTTGTCTCAAACAAGAAAAAGGTTTGTGTAAACCTTCCAGTGGCACAGATATGCTGAATAATAAATCATTGTGTAACTGATTTCTATTGTATTGTAGACTGGAAAGTTCTTCACTTGATTCTTCATGAAGTTCCTTATGTCATGCAAAATAAAGCTTTAATATTGTCCAAACATGGAAATGATGTTGATTTACTAGCCAGTGCATTAATGGCAATGGTAAGTTGAAATATTTTCTGAGTTTGACTTAATAAATAATTCATGAAAATTAACACTTTAATATGCATTATAAATTAAATAATTTTTTTTATGTGTTTTAATAGGTCAGTGACAAGTCTTTGAGCCTCCCTGACAATCTTCGCAACACTCCCTTGAAATTCACTCGCTCTGAATTTCACGGGTATGTCTTCCCTGTACTGACGTCTCTGGCATCATACCATGCTCATTTGGAACCAAGTCTTCAGCAGCGACTTATAAAGTGCTTGGAGTTTGGCTTAGTGTCACGCTGTGCTCGACAGTGTATAACAGCACTCACAACTTGTACTTTAGAAATGCGAGATGTCATGTATAAGTTGTTGCCTGGGACATTATTGAATTTGTCTAAAATTTCAGCAACAGTGCATATTGCAATACCTATTTTGGAATTTTTGTCAAGTTAGTATTGAATTTATGTAAAGAATAAATTTACCAAATTTTACCACATACAAACAGAACATTTGTTCTGACTGAGAAGTGTAATAATGTTTTTTATTGTTTTGTTTCTTCTAGCACTTACTAGATTACCTAAAGTATTTGCCAGTTTTGTTGGTGATCAGTATATGGCTGTCTTTGCTATTGCTCTTCCCTACACAAATCCTTTCAAATATAACCACTATACAGTATCTCTTGCACATCATGTAATAGCAGTGTGGTTTCTTAAATGTCGTGCACCATTTCGCAGAGACTTTGTTAAATTCATTACTACTGTAAGTATGTTTCATAATAATCAATTTAAAGTTTGAATGGAATAATATTTCTCTTACACAAAGTCTTAATTCAAGGGCCTGAAAGCCAATGTGATATTACCATTTGAAGAAGGTCAGTTGATGAAATCAGAATTGATAAATGAAGACTCATCCAATCGGAAACGAAGTTCAAGTTTAACGGAACAAGGAAGTAGACGCAATTTGAGAGCACTTGCTGCTTCAAATCGTGTTGAGGGACATCATGTAGATATGAAACCACCTATTGATGAAGCTTTAATGAACTTTCATATTGAACTGACAGAAACATGTATCGACTTAATGGCTCGATACACCTTTGCCACTTGTTCTGCTCTTCCAAAAAGGTATGTGTTAAAAAAATTGTCATAAGTTCAGGTTTTTGAAAGGAAAATGTTGATCTTAGTTGAAGAAGGATTTGGAATTTAGTTTTGTGTAATTCAGTTATGTTTCTTTAATCTGGCAAATTCCCCCTGGTTTTTTAATCTGGATGCTTGGAAGTTAAAGCTCTCAATTGTGAGGCTAATTAATTAATTCTAGACATTTTTTCTTTGAGAGATCTTTGAAAAAATATTTTTTTTAAATGTCTCCTGGAAAATTTTATAATATTTAATTTAATTAATTATGAAAAGTGTAAATTTATTTATAGGTTTCCAAATGCAGATTTTCTATTAAATGGTGGGCAGTCAATGACATGGTTGGTAGGCAACAGACTCATAACTGTCACTACAAGTGGATGTAGCCAGAAAGCTTTGAAGAATGGAGTTTGTGACAAGTGTTGGATGCTATGTCGAACTGAGAAAGGTATGAAAATTTAGTTTTTAAAATCCGTTGCTACTGGTTCAAATAAAGGGAACAAATATATAGCTTGTGGCTTTCTTTTTAGCAAAGAATCATTGTGATATTGAATGTTTTAACACAGACAAGTACCTGGGAAGAGTGTTCCATAACCTGTTACTTCAGGATCTTTATTGGTCATTATTAAGTCCTGAATGTTTATGCACTAAAGATTCATAAAGCATGCATGCAAGAAAGCATTAAAAATGAGGGAGATAGACATTTAAAATAATATTACATGCTTACATGCAATGAACTATATACATTTCATGTATATTTGCAAAATGTTTTTGAAATAGAGCAAATTTTGTTTTTAATTTAAAAGAATTATTAATAGTGTTTGTTTAGAAATTCATAATATGTATATTTGAGATTTTTATTGTCATTGTCTTAGCAGATTTAAATAGTATTGTAATTGTTTCATAGCTAATGTATCTTATCTTAAAAAAATGCCAAAATGTGACTAGTTTTGGAACACTTGTGAAATGTTTTTGGGAATCTTATCTGTTTTCACTGTGTAGATCTCATTTTTGTTTCAAAAATCCTCGTAAGTGGTTGGAAAAACACTAGAACAGAAACACTTCTTTGAAAATATCAAATACGTCAATCAGTGGCATTGTAACTAAGAGAAATTCAGTGAAATTAATATAAGAATGTTTTGCTTACTAAACACTTGTAAAATGTATGCTTAGAGAATTCTCTTCTTTTAAATAAGTTTCTAAAGTAAGTTCCTCCTGTTCTTTGTAGAACCTAGCACACCAGATGGAACATCAAACCAAGATGTTCCGGCTGTCCGTGCCAAATCAGCTGTTCAGCGTAGTAACAGTAATGATGTAAATACCTTTTTATATTTTCTTTCTGAATGTAAAGTGTTATTTTATGAACAATTTATTACAGAAATTATTTAAAGAAATGTGATGATCAACTTAAGCTCTAAGCAACTCACGTAGTACAGAATTTCTCAGTGAATCATGATTGACCCAGCAGTTGTTTTGAAAAACAGTATCTTTTTCAACAGATGTTTCATTACAACAATTTTTCTCTGAAGTATAAGTAGTATAAGTAGTATAAGTATTCTCTGAAGCATAATATAGAATGGGGAAAAGTTGTTTCTTTTTCTTTGCAGATGGCACCATCAAAGGAAGAAGCAAGTATTACATCACGCCTCTCTCGTCAAATGTCCGTTGATGTGTCAGGATCTCGAGCGTCTTCCCAGGCTCATAGTAGCAGTGCAACTGCAACTAGCTCTCCTGTGGACGAGTCTGGCAAACGAGGATTTGGTGTTCAAGATCCTCATGAACCTGAGCCTTCAAAACTTGATCAACTACTGTTTGGTTAGTACAGAATCCATTTATCTGAACCTCATTTCAAATAATCTTATTTCAATACAGGGGATCAGAAAAGCTTAAATAGTGTTCTTACAGAATGTCACAGAATATTAGGATAACAAGTTAACTGGATTGTAAAAATGATGAGACCAAAACTGAATTTTGAATATTTTTTTCTGTGTGGAATTTGAAAGTGTTTTATCACTAATAGTAAAACAGCTTTTTTGTTAATTGTCCACATTACTGGTTTACTAGAATACTTCATGTTTTACTTTCTTAGTGTACTGCATATGCAATAAAGAGAAAGTTTTGTAATGCTCAGTTAAAATTCAGCAATTTTCAGCAAAAAAAATTGTGGGACTTTGATATCAAAATATTGTGTACATCTTGTCCCATATGTATGTAGTAAATTACTGCTTCTTACACATTGTATAATTAGAATCCATGTTTTGCGTGTCCTTGATACTGAAACATCATTCGGTGGCAAAAGTCAGTCCATTTGTCCGTGAATGGTCAATGCCAGCACCGAAACTGACCGTTTAGTCAGTTTCCTCCAAAATTGATATTCCCTGATTGATCTAAATGAACTCAAGGTCCTGCGAATCTGAAATGGATATTTTAAATTGATATAATGATATACTTGAAGCTTCAATAACATTTTCCAAATGTTCTTAAAAATGACTCTGAATTTTGTGATTTAAATTTTGCCTTCAGAACGTATAAAGGTTGCTTAAAAAATTGCACAGTTCTCATTTTAGTTGACATCTTTGAATTTTTAAAAATTACAAATGTTCAAACTTTTTTGGCATCTTCCTTAAACTACTATTTGAAGTTAGAGATGGTTTTCTAAATGAAATATGTAGTTCAAAGACATATTCATGAAACAAGATCATGTTCAACTTTTCAAAAAAATTTTTGTTTTAAATTTTAATTATAAATTTTTAACTGGCAATCGCTTGATTACAACTCTTAATTTGACTCATGTATTAGTAACATAGTAACGCTGACTAAAATAATTTAGTAACAAGTGTTTTACCTACTTTTTGAATTCATAAGCGGTACAATATAAATTTAGTTACACAAAATTTGCCATTCTCCTCATCTTCCACAATGGTGCATTATAATAAAATGATGTTATTGCAAATAAAATATTATGCAAAATATCATAGTTTTCAAATAGATAATGTCCAAGGAATATGAGAGAATTCCAAAAAATCATTGTTGTGATTCACAAGACAATACAACTAAAGTATATTGCAGTAATATGTGATTTCAAAGAGCTAATATTCAAACTGGTTGCAATTTGACAGTAAGCGTAAGGAAATATAGGAGAATGCATGCCAAGTTCATAAGCTACAAATATGAAAAAACTATGTTGGACAGTTTCCAACGGGGTATATGGGCCTGATGAATTGAGAGCCAAATTTTTCGATCAATAAAGTAGAATAGGCCTTACTAATGTCAGATGTAATATTTTAAATTTTTTTTTCTAAAAAGTCACAAGTTATACTCTCCACAAATTCTAACGTCATTAGATTTGTTAACTACATAATAAATGTGGAAATTATACTCTAAAAAATTAAATTTAAAGTTAAAAATAAAATTATCTCAAAATGAAAACAGTCACTTAGTCTCATTTTTCTTTGAACCCTTATAATAATCTTAGTGTTACCAATGTTATTAAAATTTATTAATTTTATTCAAGGATTTAATTATTTTCATTCCTCTTAAACAGAACATTGGTATTAAAAGAAGTGTATATGTGTTTCAGGAATCAAGGAGCCAGAAAAAAATGAACGAGAATATTGTGCTTGTTGGTGTCAAGGGTGGGCTGAAATTCACGTGCGCAGACCTACAGGTGTGTTTTTATTCTAAATATTCTATTCAATGTAATGTTTTAATTACCTTAAATTTGCTTCTGTGACTTAGTTTTTGTCAAATTTTTGTAAAATGTTTTCCTTTATTTCATGATTTTTTTTTTATAAATGTGTCTGTTTAATAGGTAAATAAATTTGTTTCCTTCATTCATTATAGATACTGTTGTTTTTTGTTTGTTTGTGTCTTTGTTGTTTTATATTATTATTCATTTTTACTTGTGAAGAGAAATGGAAAAAAGTCATGTATTTGCTTATAAAAGTAATATTTAAAAATAACTTAGTAGAGGAATTTGTGTGTTCTCAGATTGTTAAAATTTTGCTCATTATTTTTTTTCTTGCAGGTGATATGTCATGGATTATGCGTATTCAAAATCCAAATCAACTTCATAGTTCCTCTTCAGACTTTCCTCTGGAAGATATTACTACTCTCTTCATGCCAAACGTAAACAGCAAAAATGATGAACAGTTCAGAAATCTGGTGCCGGAACACAAACGAATAAACAGTGAAAATCTAGCGGAAAGTGATTATGACGTATGTTTGTAATGTAAAGAATTATTAAAAATGAATTTTTAATTAATGATTTAAAATAGAAAATTAAGTAGCTTTCATTCTAGAGTTATCTACAGTAGCTGTTTGAAAGAATATGTTGTTGGTATTAAATTAAGACCAATTGAATGAACAAAAACATTATGAACAAAATAAAAGTGTTTTTTATTGTAAGATGGACATCTAACGAACACATTATTGAAACACAATAAATATTTTGAACTTAATTATTTACCACCAAAAAAAGTTTCTATAAAAATAATTAAAAATTCTGAAAATAATTGAGAGATTGAAATCTAACTTCTATTTCAATGAAACCAAAGAGCCTTTGACCTGTAAAGAATATTCTTATTTTTTTAAAGGCGGCTCCAAACATTTGATATTTGGCGAGGAGCAAGTGATTGCTTGCCATGTCCTGAGTAGTGTGGATGGGTTGCTTGCTATGTGTTGGACGACAAGCTTTCAGTGCTCGCTCTATCCACCGTGTGTCTGTCTTTTACACTCGGCAAAGGAAGTGAACATTCACTGATCAGCTGCTCGGGATTGGGCAAGCGGTATCTCACTACTCAGCAGATGACAAATGTGTGGAGCTGCCTTAATGGTTATGTGAAGTAAAATATGTTCAGCATTCTTTATTTAAAATTGACTATTATATTTTTTGACACTGAGTTCAGTTTTCTCAAATGACTTTACCAATTACATCTTTGTTGAGGCTGTGTTATGACCCCATACATAAAAGTACTTAGGAATACTTCTGTTTTTAAGTAGCAGATAATCGATTTAAATGTTCCATTATTGTGAGGATTGAACTAGTCTGTTCATTAAGATAAGAGTGTATATATGAATTGTTTGCATTAAGATTATTTGTTATGTTATGGAATATTTTATTAGCATTCTCTAATTCTTGGCAAGAAATGGGTTTCTTATATAATACAATTCTAGAAATTCTTCAAATGATTTGGTTCCCTTCTGTATTATTTAGTAATTTTGGAACAAATTTGTTTGATTCAGGCAATCATGGACAGGCATTTTGAAACTGAGGGAGGCAGCTTAGTGCCTCAATCGCTGGGGCCATCAGCAACGTCAGGCCCCATAGAAATTCCTGGCACACCAGTGAAACACATTTCATCAAGACGTGATTCACAAGAAAACACAGATATAGAACTTAGTTATGAAGAAGGAGATGATGTTCCTGATGCTGAAGGTAAAAACCAAGTAATCCTACTGTTCTGAAACAAATTGTGTGTTGTGATGAAGCCCTGAATATTTAACCACCAACTGTTTTCATGGTACAGAATGTGAATAAAAAATTAAAGTTGAAACTTCCATTCTTGTTTTATATTGGTCTTCAATGTGACATTTGGAATATTTAACATATTTCATAATATATGTATGATTTTTTTAATGTAAATGGAACAAAATTTTACATCTTGTAATACATTTCTTTTACCCAGTAGAATATGGCTACCATTAGAATTGGCAAAGTTTCATGTTGTCTAATAATTTCCAAATTTAATTTACTGATGTGGTAACATTGTTAAGGTGTAGGCAGAGCACGCAATCCAGTTCGTCGATCCAACTCTAGCCCTGAAATGAGTGCCAATTGGAAAAATGCTTTCATGAATCGCGAAAAGGACAAGGAAGGAAAGCAAGATAGGGAAAAGGTTGCTGATCTTGAAAGTAGCTCTGAAACTGAAGGAGACAAAAAGCCTTCAAAACAAACTTTCAATAAAGATTCTAGGTAATTAAAACAATATAATGTCTTATTACAACTTTTAAATCAAAATGATTTTCAATAATTTGTGTGCTTTGTGTACTGTTGCAGAGTCAGCTGTGAAGCCATCCCTGAAGAGATGGGAGGTGTGGGGGCCACCCCTCCTTCCAGTGAGCCTGTGAGTGAGCATCTGTCGTGCCATTCGTACCCAGGATCAACATCTGGCCAGGGGCAGCCATCTCCATCATCTGCAAGAACCGTTCCAGCATCTCCAACTTCACTGGTAAGTTAACTTCGCAAATTATTCTTTCCAAGTTTCTTTGGGGTGTCTGGTTTGTGCTAGGCAGTGGTGGAGTATATATATCTGTGTGTGTGTGTGCGTGCGTGCGTGCGTGTGTGTGTGTGTGTGTGTAAAAATAAATACATCCGGGCAGCAGAAAATCTTTGCTTGTCATATTCCTAATTGTATAATAAATTCCACTTAAAACAAATATTTTATAATTGAACAGTATTTAAAGTTTTATAATATTTTATTACAATTAGAATATTTGCAAAATGTGAAGACTATTTAATAACTTGTTCCTATTATTGGATATAAAACCTATTATACGAGGGTTGCCTTTTATATTTCCGGATTAGAGAACAAAAACAAATATTAGTCATCGAAAATCACTTTATTGTTTTTCAAAATATTCCCCATGAAGATCTATACACTTTTGCATGCGTTTGAACTAATGGTTGAAGCACTTTTGCTACTTTGAGGTATCTCCAAAACATGCATTCTGAATGCAGCAACCGCTTCTTCAGGTGTTGAAAAATGTTGACCTCTCAGTTTATTTTTTACATACAGGAATAAAAAGTGCCAAGTCAGGACTATACGGCAGATGACTCATCAAATCAATGTTTTGGGTGCTCAAAAATGCAGTTGTTTGAGCCGAAGTGTGAGAGCTCGCATTGTTGTGGTGAAGAGTGATCCGTCTTCAGTGGTTGGTTTTCCGGATTTCTTGGAAGACAGCTGGCAAACAAATCGTTGTGTTCCACTCAGAATTGACTGTTCTGCGTTGTTCTAGTGGTATGGTTGCGACATGTCCAGTTTTTCCGAAAAAAACCGACCATCTGTATGGAAGTGCTTTGTGCGTGAACAACTTTTGTTGGATTTTGCTCATCTTAAAATATACACTCAACTGCTGTTTACTTGCGGGCTCATATGCGTAAATCCATGATTCATCACCTGTCACGATGTCATAGACGTGTTTTGAAGCACCGTGATCGTATTTTTTGAGCATTTCTTTCAGCCAATCAACACAAGCCTTTTTTTGAGAGATTGACAAATTGTGTGGGATCCAACGTGAACAATTTTTTTTTGACAGTCAAATGTTAATGCAATATTGAAAGTATCACATGCAATATCAGTTCACACACAGCATCAATGGTTTCCGGAACAACAGCTGATTTTAGACGACCTTCGTGAAATTTGTTTTTGAGTGAATTACGACCATGATTGAATTCACCATACCATCGATTAACACTGGTTTTTGATGGAGCTTCATCGTTAAAAATTGAATTAAGTTCATCCATGCACTGTTGCTGAGTTAATCCAGGTCGAAAGTTGTAAAAAATAATCACACGAAATGTTCACAATTTAATTCCATTTTTGGGCCAAGATGAATCTTTTAAGTTACTGTAAACAACACAAATAGCGCTCGTATGTCAAAATGTTCTGAGTACGTATAACCTCAAAACATCCAACTTTACGATAGAGCTGTCAGTTGCCAGATTGCAACACCAGGTTTGCCAAATCCCGAAACATAAAAGGCAACCTTCGTATTTATATATTGGAACTGTGCAAAATGTTCAAAACCTTATTTTAGATTATTGGGGAAAATGCTTCAGGTTTCTCCGCCATCAAGTATAATTTCATCTGTCAGAAGTACACCCACTCCACAAACTCCACCGAGCAGTGTGTCTGCACGACCCCCTCAGTCACCGTCTTCACATGCTCGTGGTGCTTCTTCTGACGTGATGAAAACTGCTCGAGGTAAAGCGAGACTTGGGATGCACAAGATAAAGTTCTGTGAGCCTTGGCACTGTTGGAATGAAGCTCCATTCTGCACATTCCCACATGAAGCTTTGTCAAGCCATTTCATTCAGTTCATGCAGGAAACTAAAGCACTCTGAATTTAATTCATAAAGCGAGTATGTGAAAGCCAATTATGAGCAAATATAATTTAATCAAAGGTGCCATTTGATTATGAATTGCTGTGATATCATGCTACCATTGATGATGATGAATTTTTTTTCTTTTCTCCATTTGAGAAGATTAACGATTAAATTCTTGTCTAAAGAAACCAAAAGTGTTGGAGCAATAGAGTGAGATTTGGTTATCCTTAAGAATGAAAAATGGACCCAAGTTTCTAATGAATTTTATCTGTGTAACTCATTTTATTTGCAACACTTAGCAAAAATAATATTTTTTGTACAGTGGGAATTCAGGTGGGTGTTAAATGCGCCAATGTAATATTTTTATTGCATTTGTTCTTTTCATTTTTGTGAAAACAATTGGGATCACTTTAAAGCAGACTGATTTTGAGGAAATGCTAAAAATACTAAAACTCTCTCATCATAAATCTGTAATGACAAAACAGAGATAAACCTCAGAAAATGGAATAGAAGGCCCTTAAAGGTCTCCTTTTATGTATTACAAACTAAGAAAAGTAATTAGGAGCCTAAGAATCAGGTTTTAAGGATCTAAGACATGCAGTTTCCAAGTTACATACAAACTCTGTCAAATAATGTATATTGAAGATTGCATACACCTCTGCTGCTTTCGTCCTAACATAATCTTGAAAATTTTACATTTTTGTTTTAAATCTCTTTGATTTATCGCTGGCAGTGGGTGGTACGAGAATTCCCAATCCATTTAGAAGCTTATGTTGTTGTTTCTCAATGGTATCTTATAATATAAGCAATAACATCATCTTTTGTAGTGTATTATATATAGAAGATATTATTATAGCAAGAAATATTCATTTCTGTATTTTTGTTAAATTTTGTGCAATGTTCCATTCACGTAAATTGTGAGAACATGCAAATTTGTGTGAGAATGTTAAAATAATATGCATATGTGAACTTTTACGCTTACAGAACTCAAGTCTCCTCCTGATGCACATCAACCACTAACAGTTGATACGACTGGCAAAAGTTCTACACGGCAGCAGACAACTCCCCAGATGTCTTCAGGGAATGAGAAAGTGAGTAATGTGGATTGTAATTTGCTGAAACTCATCAAATATTTCCTTAACACTTGAATTCCAAAAATTCTGTTACTGCCTGTTCCACTTGAGAGGTTCATTTTAACATCTTCGTATTTTCTACGTTAAAAGCAAATTTTTGTTGTTTAACCACTTCCTATTATCTTCTTAATGCTTGCAGTCCCACCTTTTCTTTACTTTCTTGCCTTACTAGTATGTGTAGTAAAGAGAAAGTATTATACTGCGGCAGAAATTGGTGATTTTTTTGTCTGAAAAACTTGTATTGTCAGGCCCTGGAATTGAAAAAGGGATGAATTTTGTTTCTGTATGTAGCAAATTTCTTCTTCTAACATGAGTAGTCATAGTCTATGTTTTGTGGGTCCTTCATACTGAAAAATTGTTTGATAGCCAAACTTTTGTCAAATTGTCTTTCCATCTGTGGTTAATGCTCGCGCTGTTCTGACGATTTCTCTTCTAACAATTGACAAGTTTGAAAGGGATATTTTGAGTTTTGGAGTTACTTTACTCGAAGCATCAGCTCCATTTTCAAAATTTTCTGAAAATGTCTCCAATTTCTTTTATTAAATTTTGTCCTTGGGTAGCCAATAGAATGCTTAAAAAATTAACACCAGACTTATTTCCTTTAAAATCTCTGAATTTTCAAAAATTGCAAATTCAAACCTTTTTTGACATCTTTCCACAACTATAATATCGAAGATAGAGATATTTTCCTTAGTGAAATCTGTTGTTCAAAGACAGATCTTAAAATAAGGTTATGTACAATTTTTCAAGAAAAGTTGTCGAATATCCACAATTCTCCAAAAACTATACATAATTTTTAAAAAATAATCACAAATTGCTCCAATTTTTTTTCTTTAAATTTACTCCTCTTGTGCAGCAAAGGACATTAAAAAAGTAATTCTGGTCCCATTTTCAGCTTAAACTCAATATTTTTAAAAATTGCAAAAAGTAAATATTGCAAAAGTACTGTATTGATAGTAGAGATTTTGTTAAATGCAATCTATTCTCAAAACCTAGATCTTTAAATAAAAATGAATAGTTTCAGGTAATTTCTGCTTGAAGTTACTGCTATTTATTTTTTAATTTTTTAGCGATACTATTGATGGTGTAACATGCTTGGCCTATTCTCTCAAAAGGCCTAAGTTAAATCTCGGTGCGGAGAAAAAATGTTGCTAATAGTTGTAAATACTTTTGCAGTTTCATGTAATGCTAAATGTTGCACAGCCGTTACAAAGAAAGTGAGAAAGTACATCTGTTGTTGCATTACTAGTTTGTTTTTGTAGTTCTGTATATAAAATAAAGAATTATGTTTCAACATTTTTGCTTCTTTTTAATTACATGGTAAAATTTACAAGAATATTCCTCAATTTTTTTAATGGAATTTTTTAAACTGTTAAATTATTTGCTGGTAGGCGCTTTTTCTTCACTCTTAGTATTCTGTGTCACCATAAATATAAATCATCTGTGTTTAGACTTAAGACCTCTGCAATTCATATTTTAGAAACTCGCCTACATAACAAATTCAGCTTTCCTCAGCGTGAATTATTTTACTCTTCCATGTAAGGAGAGGCACAACTGTATCAACGAAGAAACAATTGTGCATCCTAAAATAAAATTTTTTTTGGGAACTCGAAAATTAAATCAGATGGTGAATGAAATGATAGATTGTAGAATCTCACAGAAAATTTCACAATAACAAGATAATGTCATTTGCAGAATATGCAATATATGATTTAGCCCAAAGCTGCAAACTATCTTGTTGGTGACAAAATCATTCCATTGATGGAGGAGTTCAATAGCAATTTAATAAGTCTTATGAAACAATAAAGGTACAATCAGAATATCAGTCTCTTGTGATACTCAAGACAAAATCATATGATATGCTACCAATGTTGAAATGACAACTTTGGGTGTTGTAGAACAGTACACCAGTAAAATCTCTCTGCAATGACACCAGTGACAGGTGAGATTGCTAGCACCACAAATCGTGTTGGTAGCATGAACTGCACCT